GTGTCACAAAGTGGCATATTTATTGTGATGTACTGTAAATGTTGTTAATTTACAGAACTTGCACTTTTATATTTCTGAGTAAAATTAAGAGAAATGTGGACATGAGTTTTGTTCCCTTGCTCCTTGAATTTGTCTTTTAATTGGTGGCCTCCTGAACAAGATGATACCAAGTATTGGGAAAACTTCTGGGATGTCAAGTGACTCTGTAACAATGTTTTCTAATCAGCAATTACCTCAGCCTTTGTTCTTCCAGTATAATTGTAGTCTCCTGGTTTAAAAAGTGAGTTACATGTGTCATGTTGAGATCAAGTGTAGAGTGAAAAAGGCTAAAGATGCGTTTTTAAGACGCCAAGTTTACTTGTTCTTCATTAAAGACCAAGAACCACACACAATGGTATTTGTTGTATTCCTACACCTTTGAAAAATGATTCAAATTTACTCTAAAGCAAGCACTTTAATTTCTTCTCTCTGACTTTGAATGCTTATTTCACATTCTAGTTATGTTTTATTCTGAAATAAAATTCCCCAAATGTTGTATTGAATTGCTTTTCATTTTACAGCAATCTGATTGTCCTTCCAGCAACTGATTGTACTCGTGTTTAAAAATTGCTCTGTAACCTGTAGCTCTTTGAACAGGAGGAAGGTGTTAGGTTGGTGTGGGGTGTATGTGGTGTTACGAGAGTGCTGATTGAACCTATCAGTGGAGTGAAAGCAGGGTAGCCTATAAAAACAACACTCAGATTCCCTTTCCAGTCGTCATGACAAAGCACTTAAGTGTAGCAATCAATTTCATGAAAAATTACCCAATCCCAAACCAGTATAATTAATGCTAATGTTAAGAAATTAATTTATACTTGGCTGTCTTTTAAGGCAATTGGCGAGCCAGTGGCACCTGAGCAGTTCACCTGTCCTTGACTCAGCAGGGCTCTGCAGGCAGCCCAGAACACGAATGGTAGACTCCACTGAAATTTAGAACTAAAGGGTACAGGTAAGAAGGGCTCTGATTCTTCATCCTGAAGAAACTGTGTGACAAAATATTTTATGTAAATTAGGAGTTGAGAGGCAAAAAAAGTAGAGGGAATTGCTTCTCTGCTAATTATAGTTTGAGTAGTTGCTTATACAATATTGTTTTGCATTCTCATGTTTTAGGTGAACTAGAAAATACTGCTTCAGAACCTGCTTTTATCTGGAAAAGCTGACTTGCAGGAGATGGAAATACACAGGCAAGTTCCAATTCTGGTTCATTTTGACCAAAGAACAATTAAAATAAAGGTATTTTGTACAGACATTCATAAAGCATGAGAACCTGCTACTTCTGCATTTAAATTACCTGTATACACAGTACTCTTAATGCCAAAGCAAATTATTGTATGAGTGTACAAGATACAGTGAGGATTGGATTCTTTTACAAAAGGCCTCACTTTGTCACAGTGTTGCAAACCTGTTTTTCCCTGAACTTCAGAACTTGTTAGAGTTAAACCAGTATAACCATTGTTAGTGGATGGCAAAGTTATATTCCTCCTCCCCATGCTGCCCCTTTCCCTCCCAACACTCCTGTTTCTTACGAGACAACGGGAATTTCAGCTTGAGGCAGGTTTTACAGAGTTAAATACCAAATTATTTCTATTTTTTGACCACTTTTGCCTGTGTATGTTTGGACCCCAAAACCAGTGTAGGTTAGCCAGGGTAGGTGCATATCAGTTGCACGTTGCTTCCCTGCTTCTGCTCAGAATCTCAGCTTAATTACCCAAATGTTTTAATCACCAGTCTGTTTTAGTTATGGGGAGTTCATGTTCACTTTTGGTAGGTACTGTTACCCTAATTTTTTTATTACTACTCTTTCCAAAATACTGATTATCTTCTGATGTGACTTCTTCCAAAATGGTGGTCCAGTCAAGTGTTCTGTAAAGCTCAGCAGGACTAGCTGGTCCTAAGTGTTTTTCGGTCATTTTTTGGCAAGTTGTGCTTACCTGTAGGAGGTGTCCAGAAGGGTTCCAAGGTGAAGAAGTTAAGAGAAAAAGATGAAGTTGAATATTTGGGAGGGGAGGGGGAGAGGGAGATTGTCAGACTTTGCCAAGCAAAACCATTTACATAGCAGATGTCTCCCTGTCTTCCAGTACAAGCAGTGTTTTGATGAAAAAGTGATTGTACTGCTGGGACATCTACTTCTCCCTAGTTGTAGCAAAGGCTCCAACCATGGGTAAGACAAAGAGCGTCAGAGATATGCATAAAGACACCTTAAATAAAAACAATATTTTGTACCCTTGGAAGAAAAGCAGGAAGGTTTTCGTGGAGATTTCTGTACATGAATGCAAACCTCCACCTAGAATTCTACTGAAGTCTCTGGCAGAAACACAAAGGTAGTACTTGAAAAAAATGCAAGTCGTCTTCCAGCAACAAGAGGGCAACAAGTTTCAGATGCACTTTTATGTTAGGAACAGAAGCCTTTCTCAATATTTAGGGAGGTTTATACTTCTGTTATTTCTGATAGTAAATTTCTGAGGTTTATAACATCTGTACTTCAACATCATTTAAGCTTTCGCTGTGCAGAGCTTTGCAGACCTAGAATTTTAAGTTTTCAAAAGAAGAAAATTGGGAAGTCATCTTCTGCTCTGTATCTTTTGAGGGTGGTTTCAAAGTCACCACAAGTGTTGTTGCACCCAGATGTATTTAATGCCTTTATCAAGTCCTGTTGCTTTGATAGGTTCTTCATACAGAAATCTAGACTTCTGATGGCGATACTGATTCCAGAAATAATATATTTTCTAGTCCTCATATATATTATTGAAGTAAATCTTGTTCTTTCTTTAAGAGTTATTCTTCCTAATCTCACAAGCATATTAATATTTAACTTTTTAAATATTATAATCTGTGTTGCCACTCTCCAGGACTGATGAGCTATTGTGAGAAGTTTTCTAACTAAGACATTACTTCCCAAGGATTCTTTTATGGAAGAAGCATTTTATGGTGAGTTGACCATTAATGTACTTTCCAGTGAACTGACTTGTAAATTACATAATATTCTGTTAATTTGAATGACTGTTAAGAATCTGTCACTTATTAAAGGAAGTTACTGTAGATAGTTTAAGTGTTGAGCAGCACTTAAATCTTCTTTGGTGCTGCTGGATTCCCCTTGGGTTTCTGTAGAGATGCAGACATCCAGAAATACAAGAGCAGGCAGGGAGAGAATGGTTTTCCAAATGAGGTGAAGACTGATCTGTAGTGGTGGTGGATAAGAGGTGGTATCCCACAGCAGATTTCCTGATCATGGCTTGTCCCCATGACCTTGCCTGTCTTCATGATTCTCAGAAAAACAGTGGTAACCTTGAAAATCTGGTACTATATGGTTACTTTTTTTGTGCTTGTTTTACTGGAACAGGAAATACCGCCTGTGTGTATCCTCTGGAAATGCTTGCTGGAAAGAAAATGCTACCCCTGGGGGGAGCACTTGAGGTTTGTTTCAAGTTTTGCCCTTGGAATCATAACGTTCTGCAGTACAAACGGAGCCATATTGAGGAATAATCTCACTCCTCTTCGAGTGCAGCTGCTGTGGCTGAGGAGGTGCCAGTCCCCAGCTGTTTGCCCTGAGCTCCTGCCGGAGATCCCCACAGAACTGTCGCTTCCCGGGCGCTGTGTTTTGCAGCCTGTCATGGGTTTAAATCCCTTGGGTGTGGTTTGTCACCTACCTAAATGGCCAGACTGCAGTGGCTGGTGTGTCTGTACACCCACCGCGGCTGCTGGAGCAGCGGGAGGG